CTTAAAAAAATCTCCGCTTTTTATTTGGACCTTGAGATATCAGATTATGTCAATTTAATTAAAATGACAAAGTTGATCTATTAATATTGTCTTTTTTGAGTATTAATACTTTAAAATGAGAGAAATTTATTCAATGGTAAAACTATGTGTCTGGGCAATGAAGATCCTACCTTATAAACATATATTCAAGCCATGCTAAATAGACATTTACGATACTGTGCTGGCAGCTCTTCATTTTGCAGCATCATTGGTTTTAAAATAGTAAAAAGGAAACAAATCTAGCCAACTGTAATTATTCCCCCATCAGCAATGGCGGCAAAATGGGGGAGCGATTGAGACTCTTTTGAAAAGCCTAATATTTTATTAACCTTAGCATTTCATTTAAAGATGTACTCTAGATAAATGCAATAATCTCAGTTTGACTGATTGCCCAGGCGGGGCCCCCAGCAAGTGGTGTGTACTTACTGCAGAACGATAAAACCAACATTGGCAGGTGTGTTTGGTTAAGATGCACTTGTCAAGTGGGATGACAAGCATGTCTGTGTTCATTCAAGTGAACCCCTTATCTTCACAGCCTTGTCCCACTCATGAGACAAAAGCAGTCCCTATGTTTGTATGATTTACCTCTCTCAAGTCCCCCCCTCCCCCTTGTTGACCCGCATCTTTGTACTCACACATGCATATACATAACTGCGACAGAGGGACAGTCTGCTAAAATATTCTGCAGATATATCTAACCTTTCATCTACAATTTAAACACCCCTACATTTAATCCGAACACCCCAATAATATAACATTTACAGGTCCATATGCCCGACCTGAGTTTTCAAATCTGGCATATATTTTTTAAATATTTTGATTTAATTTTCTAGCTATTATTTTGAATGAATTGTGGTGATAATAAGAAATGTTTGAAGTTAAATTACTCCCTTCTTTTCCTATAATTGATTTCATCCACAGGAATGCACATACACACTGCAGACAGGGGACAGTCTATTCGTTTACATGCACAGTTAAGTCAAGCTTAATTTTAACTGAAATATGAACCTGCCTATTGTTGTTATCCCAGTTTACAAGCCTTAAGCAAGAATCAAATTATTAACTGAAACATTTCTGCCTTTGCTACAGTAGGTGGTGACATGCCCCCTTTCTGCTCATTACTATTGGGATGTCTCCCAGTTGATGTGTTACATCAAAACAGTCAACAAAATAAGTTAGCAAGAGGCTAACAGCATGTACTGTATGTCAACAGATGGAAACACTGTTACATTATTTTAATGCATGTAATAGACTTCGAGTGTGAAGGTGTTTAGCAGAGCATCACCCATTAGAATGCAAACATTATCCATACTTAGGCTCCAGCTGCAGATGGTTTAGTCCTTTGGCTCAATAGCAACACATTCAAAATTATTTTTTATAATACCTGTTCAAAGTCAATACAAAAATCAGCAGCTTCCAACCATCATTTTTCTTTAAAATATTATGTATTGTGAAAATCTGGTTATTCAAGATTATTGTCAATAAAAACCTGACATGTAGGAAAGAGTTTATTGTGGTTGATAAAAATGGGTGGCTAGCAGGTACATGTCATACCAAAGCTTTGATATGATATTACCACAGTCTTCTGAGGAACCAGAATCAGTTATGTACCCAACATGTTAAAAAGCATCTCAAAGCTTGTGGAGCAGAGAGGGTTAAGGATAGAAGAGGGAAATCTGAAGAGTGACACATGAGAGCAGCCTTCATGGAGATCTTTTCACTTACAGACAACCTCCATATAAAACATCACTCACTGATTTCACAATTGGATCCGACTTGACTGAGACTTCCCAACATCTCAGGACATTAATATAAGTGAAAATGGTCTTGAGAACACTAAAGGGGTGCCTTGAAATTGATCACCATCATGAACAGTGTCTGAAGGAGAAGGAGTCTGCCCAGTTTTGTCAGGTTTGAGAAGTGTTACATGATTCCTATTTCCCCTAAAACTTTAACTCACCGAGTAATAACCAGTTTCCTTGAGACATAATAAAACTAGGTTAATGGGGGTTAATCAAATAGGGAGTTCACAATCAGATTCACACTGGAAACAAAAGCAAATAATCAATCATTTGATTATTTATTTTGGCGATGGAAATGGTCAGAGTGATTCCAGGGAGCATAAACAGACTGCAGGTTGTTCTTCATGAGCAGGTGTTTGGTGAAGAGGTAAAAGGAGAAAAACAGAGGAAAGGGCAGAAACTTCCATCTCAGTGAGGAGGCGTGGCTGCTGGCTCAATATGACACATTCTTTCTATGGGTGATCCATGAAAAGAGGAAAAGTACAAAAAATTGATAATGTTTGAATATGGTTTTTTAATGCTATTATTTTTTTTTTATATATGATGTGTTGCTTGCCATGCTATTCTGAGCGCTTTTACCTTTGTTACTAAGATGTGGCTTATACAGCTCGGGGAAAAAAATTTAAAGACCACAGCAAAATAATCACTTTCTCTGATTTTGCTATTTATAGGCATATGTCTGAGTAAAATGAACATGTCTGTTTTATTCTATAAACTACTGACAACATAACTTCCAAATAAAAAATTATGTCATTTTGAACATGTATTGGCCCACAATGAAAAATGGTCAAAATACAAAAAAGGGACCAGTGTTTTCAGACCTCAAATAATGCAAAAAAAAAAAAAGAGAAATCATTTTCATTTTTAGGCAACACATTACTGATGTTTTAACTTAGGAAGTGTTTAAAAGTAAATAGTAAATATTTGGTGGAATAACCCTGATTTGCAATCACAGCTGTCATGTGCCTTGGCATACTCTCTACCATTCTTTCACATTGCTGTAGGGTGATTTTATGCCATTCCTGGTGCAAGAATTCATGCAGTTCAGCTTTGTTTGATGGCTTGTGACCATCCACCTTTTCTCTTGATCACAAACCAGAGGTTTTCAATGGGGTGCAGGTCTGAGTGGCGGTTCTAGACCAAATTACTCCCCGGGCGAGCACCCCTCCAATGCCCCCCCCCCCCCCCCCCACACACACACACACACACAAAAAGAGATAGAATTTTGAACAGATAGTTTTGTATTACTATGTATTATTATTATTATTATTATTATAACAACAAAGATGATATATTTCTCAATTGCAGAAATCCTTCAATAGAAAAAAACACAATCCTGAGGGCCATTTTGAGAAGGGCCCCCAGATCCTGAGGTTTTCTGAAGTGTTGAGGTTTACAAAAAAGCTGCTATCTCTGCCTCTGTAGTAGATAGAAACAAAATTCAAAAAGTATTTGAGAGCTTAAACATGTGGCTTTCAAGAAAGCTCTCTTTTAGTTTTGCGAACCTTTATCACATTTTTGAAAACCTTGAACAAACAAACTTAAACGAAATAAAGCAGCTGTATAAATAAAAGTAAAGGCTCTACACTGGAGAATGACAAATAATTTGTTTTCTGTAAAACAAGTGGCAGTCATGATAAAGTGTCCATTCAATACAAATGTAAATATAGAAAATAAGGTGTTGAAAGGGTATACAGCTGCCCCAGTATAGTTCCAGTACAAAAGCAGAACTAAAAAATAAAAAATGAATAAATAAATACGTGGCTGACAGTGTGTTCATCTCTGTTCTCACCCAAAGTCATGCAACACTCACAGAAAACGCTGATAGTGTGAGCCACAGCACTCCATATGAAGAGGTTGTTCACACTGCTGGATGTTTCTCCTCTGAAGCTGCTCTCTGCCTCCATCATTGTTTACTTTACTCATGAAGCTCATCAAGCACGTAGCAAGATCCGAGCATGAACCCGAGCGCTTTATTCGTCTATCAGAGGCAGACGGGTACGGTGATTTCATTCACCACGACTCCAGAAATGATTAAAAAACTACAAAATGACGTATCCGCGCTCCCGCTGATATGCTGACATGCGTACACAGAGCAGAGCAGTGCGACTCTCTCCCCGCCTCGTCTCATACAGTCTGTCAGCCTCTGTGCAGCACCTCCGGAGCAAGCAGGGGCGCCTACAGCAGCGGGGGGCGCCAATTTGACAACAAGAGTTAATACAAAACCGCTTTGCGGTTAAGATTTATTATTATTATCTTTTATTTTATTTTTTTGGAAGTGCTCGTGCCGCCCCCCATGAGTCACGACACAAATGCCGCCCCGGGCGGCTGCCCTGTTCGCCCGTGCCTAGAACCGCTACTGGGTGCAGGTCTGAAGATAGGGCTGTCCATGACAAGGCCTTAATCTGGTGGAACTTCATCAACACCTAGATCTACCTAGCCTGGCTGGGCCATCCTTTTGCGTGAATCACTTGCCATTCCTTCCCACAAAACAAGTAAACGGCAAGTGATTCATGCAACAGGATGGCCCAGCCAGGCTAAGATCTACCTAGCTGTGTGGCATGGAGCATTGTCCTGCTGGGAAAAAAAACAACCCTCAGAGTTGGAGAACACTGTCAGAGCAGAAGGCAGCAAGTTTTCCTCCAGGATAACCTTGTATGTGGCTTGATTTATGTATCCTTTGCAAAGACGTATCTACCGGACTTCAGCCTTGCTGAAGCATCCCCAGATCATCACCGATCCTCCACCAAATTTCACTGTGGATGCAAGACTGTGTGGCTTGTAAGCCTCTACAGGTCTCTGTCCAACCACAAGACAACCAGGTGTTGGACAAAGCTGGAAATTTGAAATTTTAAGGACTGGAGCACCTGACGCTCACTGTATCCTTCTGCCAGTAAAGCAAGAATAAAACCTTTCTTTTCCTCTCATAAAACTTATTTTTTCATTTCTTTTGGCATTGTCAACAGTTTTGTTTTTTGTTTTTGTTCCGGTTTCTTTTTCACGTATATTACCGGCATTGTTTTTGCCACCCAATTGGTCCTATTGCGGCAGGATAGTGATGACCACAGTAATAGTTTATATTTCCTCCTTAATTGAGATTTGATTCAGGTGCTCACCTCATCAGTACCATTTGGTAGAAACAGGTGTGCTTGTGTTGGAATTCAACAGACACTGGAATGAAATGACTGTCATACATGTAGAGATGTTGATTTCAGGAAAACTTGCAGTGGTCTCTTATTTTCTTCCAGAGCTATGGATGTGAGAGCAATTTAGAGAGCAATTCTTCTATTTTACAATTTTTCCTCTGTGTCCTCAGTTAAAGAAACTTTAAAGTCTCTCAGGCCACTTTTAGATGGAAACGGTCTCCATAGAAAACTGAAAAGTGCTGTTTCGTTTTCAGTTTTTGTGGTGTGTTTACACAAAAACGCAATGTGGTTGAAAACGCTGTAATGTGCATACCAGGTCGCTAGGTGGCGCGTGTTGGTGTGACCGCGCTCCCATACAGACCAACAATGCATACGTAGAACAACTTTCAAAGACGTCCCCTCGTTCCCCTCCGTCGACCAATTGGCACATTAATTATTTGATCCAAATAATTCAGACGCCTCCTCTGCTGAGCAGTATGATCCATGAGGATTCTGTACAGGTTGAAATTGAGCTCCTACCCGTTCAGTAACGACAGCGCATGTCTAGCATGGTTGTTGTTGTTATTTTCAAGGAAGCTGCGCATGGCTATGATGTCATAAGCGTGAGCCAACGTGAGCCAGGACGTCGAAGGTTTGACTGTTTTTCACTTTATGTTTTCATCTCCTGAAAATGCAGTTGCCGTCTAAACGGACCCCCCTAAATGAAACTAAATTTTTCCGTTTTCTATGCTGAGACCGTTTCTGTCTAAAAGTGGCCTTAAAAGTCATCCTCACTACTCTGAACAGCTGAGCCCCCTCAAGGCCTGATCCTAAAACCGCCCCTGATGTGACTTCAGCTTTTGCTGTATTTTCAATAAAGTCATTAATTGTCAAAGCAATGTACTGAACAATACAGTACAATGGTGTACTCAGTAACAACAGTGTTAAAACAGTGCTTCTATTTCTTATTTAGGTTTTTATATGTTGTCTCACTCACCCAAAGACAGTTTTAGCGGCATTGGACAGTGCTTAAAGTGCTTTTCTAGTGATAAAAATGATTAATATCAATAGAATTAGATTGTGCAAAAAAATACTACTCATGCTGATCTAAATATGGAAAATGGATCGGCTGTGTATTTTCTCCAGTGGTACAGAATTGTAAAATGTGTTAATCTTATTTTAAAGCTTTGCAGCATAAAAACTGACACATGGCATTAATGTTAAAATGGTCCAAATCATTCTTCATTCATCCTCCATTTGCTCCGCTCTTGTATACTAATCGTCTCTCTTTTGTAAGTCACGCATTTCTTTACTGCAGCCAAGTTTGATACTGTTTTTTAAATGTATTTCACAGGACATCTGCGGACATAAACTATTGCAAACCCACGCGACCCCCGCGTCTGTGATGCCTGAACCTTTACCGGGGTGAGGAGGAAGTGACGTCGGGATAGGAATTAGAGCTCGCTCTTGTCTGGCAGACTGTGGTGAGCAGCAAGTGATAGCAACAACTGACGTTAGAAGTCGTTTGCCCACGAAACCATCCTAATTTGAAACGTGAGAGCGGTCTCTGATTAGTAAAAGCGCTGAACGTCCCTCTGCTGGAGGTGAAAATGACACAAAGGTAAGCAGCTGTGTGAGTGATGCAAGGAGCGCCTGCTAGCTTGTTGCCTAGCCGCCTGTAGCTAATGTTATCCGGCAGCGCTGGACAACAAACTTTTTATTAATATTGTCTCATTATGATTAAAGTTGCTGCAATACAGGTGTTAAATTTTGTGGTCAGTTTGGTAATTACTGGGTCAGTTGTCTCAAACCAGCGGGTAAAATCTCACTAAGGGGGATTTTTTCCACAGACAGCACAGAAATCACGTTGCTGTATCTTTTCATGTGAGCCTTTACATTTACAAAAGATGGGTTTAAAAAAATGCCTGTAAAAGTCAATATCTCTGTAAGAAGAGTCAGGGTGAAATAGCCATCAGAGATGACATGCCTGCATTAGAGATGACACACCTGCAGCCTGTAATGTACAGTGAACAAAGAAAGGAAAAGTCACAGTGAGATCACTAATGATCATTTTACTGGAAACTCAGTGATCATGGACCAACCCAGATTTGGCCATGAAATGAGATCATTCTTATCAGTTCAGTTCATTGTGTGATCAGCTTAGAGGGTCAAACTGGATGAAACACAGACAGGTTTCCTCTTCTCTCGCTAGTATCTTTCTCTATATGCTCTTGAAAATCACATTGAAGTCAGGAACCAGTTCTGGGAAATGTATTAACGCTGCTCTTTTTTTCTGTGTCTTCAGATGACTCACCAGTGACTTGGACACCAGTGATGTGACAGAATATGAGGCTGGCTGAGGTCGTGAGACTCTTCATTGCTTGTTATGATTCCTCCTTTAAGCACATTAACTGTACAGACATTCACAACAAACATATATTAGATCATGTTTGTTGTTATTTGCACGTGACACATGACACTTAAAAAAAAAAACAAGCTACATAAATCATTATCTAGTTTGTTTTGAATGGATTCCAGCTGATAACCATTGCTGATGATGTCACTGGGGGAGCAATCCCAAAAGTGGTTTCCAACCCATGTCCAAGCCACTGTTCTTCAGGCAACAGGTTTACAGCCCAAGGGCAAAAATGGCACCAATGATGCCTACACCATCATCCAGCTGGGCAAAGAGAAGTACTCAACATCAGTGGCAGAGAAGACACTTAACCCTGTCTGGAGAGAAGAAGCCTCCTTTGAATTACCTGGTTTACTATTGGAGGGCAACCCAGAAGTGTATGAACTCTGCCTTATAGTGATGCATCGGTCCTTGGTTGGGATGGACAAGTTCTTGGGTCAGACCACCATCAACCTTAATGAAATCTTTGACAACAAAGAGAGAAAGAAAACTGAGTAAGTATCATCAATTCAAGTAGCAAATTTCAAAAATACTTCTCTATAATAGACCAGCAATGTGTATATTACCTGGAACAATGGAGTTCTTTATTTTATTAGACTTAACTATAAGCAGAATCATTTCCTATGATTTGTACACCTCCACTAAAACATGTGTCTGTAAATAAACCTGATATCTATACAGACATGGGGGTGCATGGTGGTTTACAATATGACACCCACTTAATGATGCATCATCAGGTGAAGCCACAGTTAAATCTTAATCATTTTTTTGCAGGTTTCTGGTTGACATGTTCATATTGATCAAAAATTGTGCAGGAGAAAGTAAAAAGCAGACTTGATAAGCGTCATGAGTCTGTGTACTAACTAGTACTTATACTCTGTGATGTGTTTGTTGTATTTCATGTCACAAAAATGACTGGAGATTTCTTGTTTGTGTTTTTAATTTTCATAGGGCACTTCCAATACTGTGTCGTTAGTAAAAAAAAAAAGAATGATATGACCTCTTTTGTGCCCTGACCAGCCATAAAATCATGTCACCTGGGCAGCTTATGGAACCCAATGCAACAGCCCCAACGTAAAGTCTACTATTCTTAAGCTTTTACAGTTTGTCGTCATGATCAGACGGGTGATTATTGTGCTTAATCTTGATTATTGAAGTCATAGTGGTGTAATGGTGCGCATTAGATTAAAGGATGTTCCCTATATTTTCCTTCCCTCATGAATGTAGTGGACAAAATCTGAGGATGCTTGTTTTTAATATAACACTCTCCAGTACACCACCACCCTCTTTGTTTTCAATAATATCTGTAAAGTACAACATTAACCTGTCAGATCCTGTCCACTAAAACGTAATAATAAAAAGCTCTCTGGACATACACAGTAGAGCTGTTGAATTGGTGTGCAGTAGACTGCCCAGGTGTTCATAATGTTATGGCTGGTTGCTGCCGCCAAAACATTATGAACTTTTAAAGAAACTTAGTATGCCTCCAGCTCACAGCCATGATGTGCTCTTGGTGGGGAAACAGACTTTGAAGAGGAAGTTGAGAATATTTTCAGAACTGTTCCAGTCATAAGTTGATCACATCATAGCATGAGCTAAATTTGTTGTTATTGGTCAAAGCTCTCACATGCTTCATCCTCTTTTCCGACAATACATAGGGCTCATTCCTTGTGTCTGACTGCTATTCTTGTTTTTGGTTTATGACCTATAACCTAAGTCCTTTTGCAGCGTATGATATGAATGCCTCTGCACTGTCTTGTAGTCACATTTCTGCTTGTCCCAGAGATATAAGATTGATCTGTTTGAATTTAAATCCCAGTAAATAGATGGACAAACTCACAGTTCAAACTGAAATACAGATAAAATAAGAAGAATTTTATTTAGCTCTGAGGGGAAATTTGATACCTTCTTTCCTCTGCAGAATTAAACAAATTTACACAGCTCTTAAAGGTCAAGTTGTTCATGTATACTCAGTAAGGGACCGCAGATTGGTTGAACTTGTCCATCTTGTTGACCCTCTATACTTGAGGCTTAGCCATGAAAAGCCCTACATTGTTGAGGGATTATTTTTAGCTTAATCACTGCCATGGTTAGCAGCAGTTGGTCTAATTGAAACTTGTAGAGCTGGCCAAACATGTCTTGTTAGTCACTCCCATGCTTTTAGTTATTTTCTAAAGAGTCACTGTTAATCAAAAATGCACTAATGGCTTGTTTTGCGCAGACTTAACTTATCCTCCATTTATACAAAATTTCTCCAAATGCTATGGTCTTTGCAGCCAAAATAAGCATATTAAAGAGGGGGTATTGAGCATTTTTTTCAGACTCTGTACTTCCTCTCTGATCGCTCTTGAACATCTTTGCATGATTTTCGGATCATTGATACGCTAAAATTTCTCACAGTGGTGTAGTAAAATATTATTTTAGCCTCTGTCTGTAAACGCTTCGTTTTAGTTGCTGTCTCTTTAAGCCCCCCCCCCCCCACATGAGCCTACTGTCCTCTAATTGGCCACCTCTATGGAAGCTTTCCAGTAAGGAGAGTCTATTGCAATGACAATCATTTTAGTGGGTCTTGCCTTTTCTTGCAGGCTCCTGTTTTGAGCAGTTAACATCTATTTTATAAGATTATGATGACATATGTTAACCTCGTGGTTTAAAACTTTGCATACATCGAGTATGGATACAAAACTTTGTAATCTGCAGTTTTTGTGGTAAATGTGGAAAAGCATGATACTGTAGTCCCCCCTGTAAGTAAACTGCATAAAGAAGTGATATTTGCAGTTAGTAGTTGGTGTCTATCTTAGTCAGTCCTTTCATTCAAAGGTGAATCAAATGGGCTTTTAAGTGTCAAATGAAAAGGGTTTTAGATGACTGGATAGATATAGATTTGCAGGATTCATGACTGTAGTAGGACGCAAACACTGATTACTTGGACCTGCAGTAGAACTCATTTATTGAAGCATTTATTGAATTTGTAAATAATAAATATTATCTGGACCCAGGGGTAGGGAAGAGCACAATCAATACAGAGCGTTTGATTGTGTGAAGTTTTCTAGTATAAGGCCTTGATAATTGGTTTAGTTTTGATCAGTAGCTATGTTAGCTATGTTTACTTGCATGCATGATCAGACACTGTTTTGTTCAACAGTTACTGTCAGGATGCTCAGAGAGGTGTCACTTTGCTTCAGATTTTACTGCAAATGCAAGAGACAGCAGTGCACTATGTAAAGGGACCATTAGGGAGAAAACAAATAGACTTCAAACAGACTTCAAACTCAAACAGACATCTGTCCAAGATACACCCAAAAAAGTTACAGAGGTGCTGAAACTAGGGGTACCTTTCATCATTCTTGTAAACTATTGGTAATGTTGACAAATTTTGTCAATCAATCACTGTGCTCAAGATGTTATAAGGTATTTCGATATTATCACACCTTGCAGTGATCCATCTGTTGTAGGGTTTGTTAAGAGAGCTGTAATGTGCATAAAATTATAAACCACAGTGCTGTAACTTAGTTAAAAAGTTTCAGCTCCAGACAAACCAACAGAATCAGTAACTGTGTTAGTGAATGAAATGTGTTTTATACACGTCCATAAAATCCCACACAGTTACTCAGTATTTTGATGTCAAACAGCAAACTTGTCCTCAAAGGAAACAGTCTTATCAGCTAGAGCTGAATGATTTGGGAAAATAATCTACTTGTGATTTTTTTCCTCAATATTGCGATATAATATGTGATTGTTTTTACAAGGTCCTCTTCTAATGTATTTTTCAAGACAACAATAAACCAATCTGCATTATAGTAAGCAGTATCAGATTTATTAAACATAAATTGCATGCATGAATTGCTGAATGTAATTTATGGAGGTTGACATGTGTGATTCGAGGTTATCAACTTTGGAATAAACACACGTTCACATTCTCTCCCTCCCTCCAACTCTTACAGTCTCTCTCTCTCACACACACAACCTCTCTCTGCGCACACGCAATCATGCACACACACATGCACGTACCATTATATACGTCATGATACGAATCTACATACCGATAGCGAGATGTAAAACACTGAAGTTGGGTCTATTCATTCAGCTGTGCTGCCATCATCTTGTTGGTTACGTTGTCCGTAGTTATGCAGACATGGTTTAAAGTTAAAGTGCTGGTCGCTGGTGTTTTAGCCATTCAACTATTTAACATAGCTTTCTAGTGTTTTTTTAAGTGTTGATAAAGGTTCGTAGTGTTACCTCCTGATGTAGCAACAGTAGCACAGCAGGTTCTACACACAATGTGCAGCAGCATGTTTTTTAGGCAAAATTAATCCACACAACTGCTCTGCTGCCCCTCTTTGGTACTAAACATTCTGCAGTATCAGCTTCTGTAGTGCACTAGGGCCATAATACAGAGCGCAGCGTTGACTTCTCTCCCTGCCTGCTCTGCTGCGCTCCGCTTGCAGATCACGTGACCAGAAAATATCTCAACCTTTGTGGTTAGAAAATCTCGTTTTAAACACAATTAATCGTTCTGCCCTGTTATCAACAATAAGGACTCAACTTGGACTTGAGCTGTGGTGACTCAGTGACAACACTAATATATAACTGGAGTCAGTGGTTGACCAGTATTGTTGCTAAAGCTGGTCGCTGGACTGTTGGTCAATCTTTGGAGCTGGAATGATTTTTTATTTTTTTTTGTAAGTGATAAAGTACAACACTTAAATGAGAAGAACAACCCAACAAAAACAAAATATCTCTAGTTAAATGATAATTTTATTATAATTTGCCTTCCTTGGCATTTAACCAGGAAGAATTCTCTTGGATATCTGTCCAACAATCTTGTGTCAATAAACTAGAAAAAAATTCAAGTTAATAAATACTAATATTCTTAAAAATGAAGGAACAAACAAAATCAAAACAAAATCATTTACCAGTCTTTAGTTCCATGCACATTGCAATCTTACATAGACATTTATTTGTACATTTGCACTAAGAGGGATTGTACTTAATTGCATTGTAAATGTAGAATGACAAGAAACATACTCTATTGTATTCTATCATTTTATCTTTTAACATGGATTTTAATTACTTTATGAATTGGTAAAACACAAAGGGGTATGCAACAGATTTCAGACATGAGAAATATTAATGACAAAATCTGTATAAAACTGCATTACACCATAAATTAAACTCTGTAAAATATTAACCAGAAATGGTTTGAGATTTGATATTCTGTCATCTAGCGCAAAACTTATCATTTAAAAAATATGATGATTGGAAAAATTTGAACAAATAGTTATAGCAGGTTGCACAGCACATATAGTGAAGGGTAAAGGCTCAAAACTAAGTTTATCACCACCCTCCTAACATTGTTCACCAGCTCCCATACAAACAGACATTCATTTATTTTTCCTAATAAGCTTTGTGAGTGCAGGTATTGGCATAAATTGCCACTTTTTTGGCTGACCATTTGTACTTGGCTAAAAGTTGTGCTATGAATCCTTACAAATTTTTTAATGCTTCATGAATGAAACACTTTGAAAACATGAACAAAATAATCCAGTTCGGTATGTTTTTCAGCCAGAAGAATCACAATCAGTGATAATTATGGGTTTTATTAGTTTGAGGTATCTTTAAGAATAAGAGTAAGATCTTTATGAAGCACCCTGAGGCCTTTCACTTGACCTGCAGCCCCTGATGTGCTCACATGGCTTGTTGGTCCAGTCCCACACTGCAGACTCAGTGGACAGTGGTGCTCAGACCAATGATAGTTCTCGACACTCCACAGTGGGTCTGTGTTCACCACTGCCCATCTGCAGTGTTTTTGAACTTGACACATTAGGGAGGAAAGTCTACCATGATATCTGACTAGGCAGCCCGTAATTATCGTACACCTGTGTTTGTTGATTGTGAGAAGTTTCCCAGCGGCCTGCACCCAAGTGGGAGGATTGTGGTTCCAAGCACAGGCAGGTTTATCTTGGCCTTGAAACTCACGTGAGGAACACTCTCGGCCCCCACGGCAGTGGCACACTGTGGCTGCAGATCAGACTGAGCACTGCACGCAGCCTGGGAATCAGACCCAGCTGGGCCTTTCATGACTGAGCTCAATGACTTGGCTTCTGACAGTTCAAAATACCATTCAACAGCTGCAGTTGTTCAACAGCCGATACCAGCCGTTGTTCTGGATTTAGCTGACAACTGATTTTCACGCTGAAATTCAGGGGGTATATCAGTGTCCATCGTAACACAGTAGGAAGTGACATTGTGTGAAAACCAATACATCTTTGTGACTAAATTGATTATACAGGTTTAGGAACAATGCAAGTCTTTGCTGGGCTTTAGAGAAACCTCCTGTCACTCATATTGGTTTACAGAAACAGTAAACAGTGCATTACAACACTCAGTGATGCAGCCCTGTTGTGGTAAACCAAGAGACCTCATAGCTCACATGTCCCATAGAGGAGTCTGGTACTTCAGGGTTTAGCCAGGCTCTGGATAAACATTACAACTGCCGTGTGGGCATGAATACAAGCCTCTTACCATCTTACACAAACAGAATCTATTTGATAGGGCAGCTCCATTATGGCAAAAACCCTGATCACAGTCATGTTGATTTGTATTTATATCACAATTATTAAAAGCAGTTACCCATGATTTCACATCTGCATCACATGCATTTAGGCAGCTTACAATTTCTTAAAAACTTAAAACTCTTTAACAAACACAAGAGTGGTTCAAAAACTGTTAAGTCTGTTGTTTTGTTTAGTGTTTAACATCTGTTAAAGCATCAAGATGCATGCACCTGCTCCTCTCCCTGCTCTCCTCCCGCCTCCTCCTGCTCCTCTCCTCTCCCTGTTCTCCTCTCTCCTCTCCCTGCTCTCCTGCTCCTCTCATCTCTTCACTCCCTGCTCTCCATCTCCTCTCCCTGCTCTCCTCATCTGCTCCTTCTCCTCTCCCTGCCTTCTGCTCATCTCCTCCTGCTCCGCTCCCTGCTCTCCTCATTTCCTCCTGCTCCTCTCCCTGCCTTCCTCTCATCTCCTCCTGCTCTGCTCCCTGCTCTCCTCTGTCCTCCTCTTCTTCTTCTTCCCTCTCCTTCTCCTCCTCCTGCTCCTCTCCCTGCCTTCTTCTCATTTCCTCCTTCTCTGCTCCCTGTTCCCCTCTGTCCTCCTCCCGCTCCTTTCCTCTCTCCTTTGCATGAAAAGAGACGCCATTGATAAAGTTCGATTGTCCATTGTTTGGTTGATCATTTGTTTGTGGCATTTTCTTTGATTTTTAGTTGATATTGATGAGTGCCTTACGCAGGTGAATAGAAGTTTATTTTTTGCACTTAGAAATAACAGAAATTGTTTAACTTATAAAATCAAACTTAAATACACCTCAGTGAATAAAAGGTGATACCTTAATTTAAATCATTTGATAGCATGATTTGATAACCTAATAGTAAATATTTAATACATGAAGTAATCACAGGGTATTTACTGCTTTAGAGTTTAATAATAATTTAAAATAATTCAATGTATAATAAAAATAGTTTAAAATGTGTAGCATTGTATCATTTAATAGTTAGTTCTTGTTATATAAAAATACTTGCTTTGATAGATCATAAATAAACATAGATAATTGCATTCTATGATGATAACCTAAACTAATCAATTGTTTAAAAGAACTCACTTTTCTTAGATGTATGTACACATCTTTTGAGGAGTTGAATTTGAGTGTTTGGGTTTCAAAGCTGTTAATAGAAATTAAAGAATTCAAGAATCATAGACACTTGCAGATGAGAGATTTTATTATATTTATTTACACCTCCAGAACTTTATTTACTAACATGTATTCTTTCTCCTATTTCACTTCAATGTTAGTATCAACCTATTTCATCCAGTGTTTAATAAAGCTGTGAAGCTGGAATAAAGTTGTCCCACCGTCCTCTGTTGCTTCTCAGCCTCTCAAGTTCAGACAAATCAAAAAGAACTTGACAGATCACAAGAGCCTTACCCAGGTATTCCACCGCGTGCAGATCCACTCCGCTCCGGAACCGCAGGCGGATCAATTACGCAAGCATACAGCGCCCACCGGATCCGATCCACTGCAGCAAGCGGAGGAGAAGTGCTTGCGATATTACCGATATTTCTCGCAAGACTGGACAAGATCTTGCATGTTTCACCATGAGACATTGAATAAGACCGGCGGTGTATATAAACACCTACATTTCAACGTATTGACTTTATTTTATATTGAAAATTAACCAGATATTTTACTCTGTAGCCGCATACAACTTCTGCTGCCACTCATGCTGCGCTGCACTGAATTAATGCGTTGTGCTGCAGCGTCCGAAAAAATAGAAGCCTTGCGTATCTGATCCGACTGCCGGAGTGGATCCACAGCGGCAGACGGATTGTGTGGAATTGCACACATTGATTATAATGCTTGCGTATTTGAATTGCCTTCCGTTCCAGAGCAGAGCACAGCCGCTCCGTATCCTGTGGAATTTAGCCGTAACTGCTGTAGGGCTAATGTCGAGGTAACTGAAAGGAATGACACCTCTAAAGTTAGCCTCCACAACAACACTTGTGAAATGCTTAACAATGGGATCATATTAGGAGTTCACTATTAATTTTGATAGCATCAAGCATCCTCTGAGATTTTAGACATAACACATGGACTGACTATTGACACCATCTGGTCTGGTCCTGGTTTCCTAAAGAACATTGTTATAAGCTCTCTTTCACAGTGAATGGGCCTCATTAGCATATATGAAGTGTTTGCTTCCCCAGCTTTGTAGTTTCCCTGTTGCTGAATGGTGCATATCTGAACAAAGGCCAGATTTGTGCAAATGCCACTTTATTTTGCTCAGAGTGAAAGCATAAATCCCATTACCTCCAATTGAAAGCATAGTTTAAACAAGTAGGATCCCAAAAGCAGGCTTGAATTATCTGTTCCATTTCGCAGCAGGCGATTTCTTTTGCTCAGTGTGCAGAGAAGCAAATGTATTCTCCAAACTGTGTTCAAATTACATTTGCCTGTGTCAAACTATCTGTTCTAGCTCCTGCATTTGTACATAGCTTTTTGATAAGTGTGCTTTAATTATCCTCTTGTTGTGGGAAAAGAGAAGTAGGAGCACATTTAAAAGCACAGTTTACTTGAGTGGGGTTGAATGCACTTGACCTCATAACGATGCTAAATCCTTTTGATTAACAAACTTTTCTGAAATCCTTTAAATTCTCATATTGGATTTCCTGTCCTCGGTTTTCAGATGGTATCCCATAGAGTCTAAACCAGGGAAGAAAAGGAAAGAACGAGGTCAAATCCAAGTCAGCATCCAGTTCATGAGGAACAACATGACAGCCAGCATGTTTGACCTCTCCATGAAGGAGAAGCCCCGCTCCCCTTTTTCAAAACTGAAGGACAAAATGAAGGGACGTAAACACGACAGCGGCTTAAGTGACACATCTTCAGCCATCCTGCCTCGCTCTGCTGTGTGTGACTCTGAGCCTAAACGCCAGCCCCTAGAACCACAGTCCCAGCCCGAAGTTAAGATCAAGAGGCCACTACTCGCTGGGACCCACAAACTCTCTGCAGCCCATTCCATGTCAGATCTCATTGGGACCCACTTTCGACCAAAACTAGACTCCATGAACTCCATTGAAGAGACGGGTGAGGAGCAAGGCTTTCAATTTTAGTTTGGGGGGATTTGAATTGAAAAACTTCTTGGGCTTGCTGCAGGTCATCAGGGACTAGATAAAGATTATTTTGGTGACACCAAATGGATTTCTTTACCAACTGATTCTTTGGTGAGAATTTAGGGATTTTAGCATTTTTAACTTTTTATTTCTTTGTCAAAAGAAAGAGGACAAAAAAGAGAGGGGCCTCTGAAAAGTTACAGTGAAATCTGGATAAAAGGTCTTGTTCTTACACGCAAGAACATGATGATATTGGCTCTAGATGCATAGTTCCAGCTGGCCCCTTCCTTTAAGTAAAGTGATTCACAAACACAAGGTCATTTACACCGATCACACCTAAATCCACATGAAACCAGCACAGATGCATATTTCTTAATTTAGAGTTTTATTTGTTGAATTCTTGAGAAACCAACCATATCATAATTTGACAGCATGCTTTTGTTTCTCTTCCAGGGATCACAGGCGGCCCTCACAAGCGTTCCCAGAGCGAGGTGCCAGGCTACCAGGATAGCGAGGTACACAGTGACCCTTTCACTGATATCGGCGATACCCTGCCACAAAAGTATGCCACGCTCCCACGCAACCGCAACCCATTTGAGGGGGAGCACGGGCAGCTGTGGGACCGGGCCGAGCGGAAGGAGAAAAAGGAGAAGGTCAGCCTACTAGAACGTGTAACGGGGAAGAAGGAAGGTCGCAAGACCAACGGGGGGCGTTCGGGTAGCTCCGGAGATCTGCGCTCTTCCAACCCCTTTAGCGGAGACTCGCAAGCAGACACCAACCCGTTCACTTCCACCTTCAAATCCAGGTAGTCACTCTGTATTTGGTGGAGTTCATCAGATGAAATCACATCACACTGCTCTTCCTCAGCGTTGCATCATTTCACATAGTTGCACTCTGTCATTCACTCTGTCAACTTACAGCATAACAGTTATTTCACATTTATAGATCAATGTTGTTTCTCTTAGCTGATACAGAAAAGGGATAAAGATGATCATAAAAACATAAAATGTTAAAGCAGGTGGGCATAATGGATATCTGGATATCTTCTCTATTTTTATTGTACCTACAAGCTGTTCAACTTTCCAGTAGTACATGTACATTTGTTATTCTGTAAATCTAATTGACTTAATAATGACTTAATAATTTTAACCTTTAACACTATTTAGCCTTTTTAAAGAGGCACTGACAGCTGCATGGATGATGCAGACAAGTAGAGAGTTCAGGAGGAGTGACATGTTCCTTCATAAAACTCATAGGATAATAAAAAACATAAAAAAGTGAATATAGTTCTTCTCTGAGTTTGGTTTGTTTGGATAGTTTTACATTTTCTATCATTGAGAGTGCATGTGGTACTTCATGACTAACTTTCCACAACCCTGATGACATCAAAGAAGTGTCTAAACTGTTGATGAGAACAGATTTGGTCTAGTCTAGAGTTCAATCCCCACTCTTATGGAGTGTCATGTTAAGATAAGATAAACCTTTATTCATCCCACAGTGGGGAAATCTGCTGTGTTAAAGCAGCACAGCACAGCAAACATAGAAGAATAAGTCACTGCACACAGTGCACAGATAATTATTAAGAGTTAACCTAGACCTCTTCAAAAAAGAGAAAAAAATGGAGGCGTCAATAACAACCAAAGACTAAAGCGCTTCTACACAGTGAATAAGTTCCTCTAGTTTTTCTGTTGTTGATTTTTTCCTCATTTTTATATATAAAATATTTTGTCTAGGTCTAAGTCAACTTTTTATAATAATCTGTGGACTGTCTGCTTGAAAGTTATATCACAATTTTCTCCATTCTTGAAATGTAGTATCAGCTCTAATGGAAATGATCTGCAGACAACACTTGCATGCATCTCTGCAGCAGCAGGGGATCTTTCTCTCTTTCTGTGTTTTGATCATGACACTAAGACATTCTCATGCTTGTTGAATACTTGATGGACTGAAGTGTAGTATCTGATCTGTCCCATTTTATTGTCAGTGTTTTTCTGGTTGAAAACTTACAGAGAGGGTGCTCCATGTATTTCGTGTCTTACATAAAAGGGTTTGTGAGTACTGTGGCTATATTCTGGTTTAACTGAGTGGAAGGTGTCATTAGTGGCTCTTCAGAGTGCTTGGGTTTGATAACAGAGCCCTCTGAGCTATGGTAATGAGATCCTCCACAGAGATAGACCACCCAATTAACCACTTATCTTTGTAGGCACTAGTCTATCATCTTTACTGCCTTTGTCACACAGCAGCTCAGTGGTCATTTCAAATCTGCTGTAGACGATGATTTATAGACTTCTATTTATTGATGAATACATATAGTGTCATTAAAAAACACGCCATATTTCATATTTTGTTCCACAACTTAAGGTATATGTATAATGGTGATAATCATGTCAGAAATATCCACTCCATGTAAGTACTGACATTGTCTTTGTTTGTTTGCAGTGATAAAAAGTCAAGAAATGAAGAAATAATCCTCGGCCAGAAAAAGAAGGACATCAATGGCAAAAAACCTGTAAGAACGCTGACCTGTCCTGTGAAAGGAAATGATCTGTCTGAAGATGTTGTTGCACATCATTAGTTTGACTGCAGAGTGATTGAGAGGGCAGGAGAGAAGACGTGTGTCATTCCTGCGCCTATATTGTGATACACATTTTTAATTGGGGACCTGTTGTTAAGTTTTACAAAGCAGCTGGTGACCCCTGGGGGCTCTGAAATTCAGATGTGTTATTTGCCTAATTGGACAATTTGGTCACCATGTCTGAGCTGAGTTTAATTTGAGGTGGTGTGAAAGTTTGGTCTTTAAGGTCAGTCCTTGTTTCTCTCTGATTTCAGACAGAAAAAAGAGAACTATCACTAGTTATTCTTCCCAATGATTGGGACACATTTAGGTTTAGTTTCAGTTTTATTGTCATTTGTCTATTATTTACTTACGTTTCTTAATGTATTTATTTTACACATAAGAAGGGCTAGTAATTGCAGAATGGATGAGGGAGCTGTTGGTGTAGTCGCTTCAGTGACACCTAAATGAGAGAGAGAGAATGCTGATAATGGCTTTCCTCACCTTCCTTTGTGAGTGTTGAGGGCTTCCGGTATCCACATTTTCCGCCGTTGTATGCTGCAGTGGCTTACAGAAATGGCAGATCCCTTTTCCTTTGCTCCAAGGCCCTAATTAACCAAACACATGGGGGACAGAGAAGTGGGAGAGATTTCAAAGAACCAGGGCTTTTAGATTCTCAAAGCTGAGCTCATTAGAAACTGTAATGACACAACTGGAGAATGCCAAGTGTGTGTGCCTTATCTTCTCACCACTGATCGCAGAAAAATGGTCATCATTACTTTGCCAATTCATGGTAATTTCCAGGCCTTTGTCAACATTGACTAAAGCTTATTAATATTATGCAGTGTGTAGAGGCAGAGCACAGACACGGGGACATGCTTGTAAGTAAAACCACATCACATAGGGCTTGAAGTTTTCTTCTTTGCACTCATGGCTGAATGCAGTACCTATCCGTGACATGCTCTTTCTGGGGGGGGGGGACAAAAAACAATAATTCTTACCTATTCCTGAAGCCCTCCTCACTTTGGACATCTAATCAGAGGCAAATATGTTATTTTGATCTGTGTTGCCCCATGGTAGCCTTTATACTGTTGGAGGCGATAAGGTAGTGGTACGCGGTCACACACTGACTCTTTTTGCACAGTCTTTCTGCGTCAGTAGTGGCTTGAATGCTGCATGGGAGTCAAAGCTGATAAGTGTGGTATTTTAAATAGGATGAAGGCTTTGCTGCCCTGCCCGCCCAAGGGAGGATGCCCAGCACTAAAGTGATGAAGTGGCCCCTCATTAAAAAGGATTGCAGTTTTTACTCATGCAATATGATCTGCACATACCTTACAACTGATCTTCAGCCTAATAGGTTGTTCTTGAAGAGCAGAGCTGAGCTGGGGTTGCATTAAATATTCAGTTCTTTAGAAACCTCTGTATCATGACGTTTTGAGAGCTTGGTTTACATCTAAATTCCTAAACCTTCTCTGTGCAGACAGACTGTGCTCTGAGATCATTGAAACTCAAAAAAAGCACCTGAGCATCAGTTAAATTACTCTTGGTTCATTATTAACACCCCAAAACAGTCCTCACATGTCAGTGCTCAATCTCTTGTTTAATCTCATTTAAATGCCTTTTTAGCCTCATTAGCCTTTTTAGCAATAAAGAAGGGGTTAACACATGGCAACTTAAAACACTGAAGACATTATAGAGTTATGGTAGAAAACCTGAACTGTTGGGCAGCTAAAACCCTGACTCCAGCTGGAGTAGGGCAACTTTCAGCAGTCATGATCATCACTCCAGAAACTGGTGTCCTCAGCTCTGAAATGATGTTAAAGGAAGAGGTGATGTAACACAGCAGTAAACGTGCCTCTATCCCTGTCCTTTTTAAACATGTCGCTGGCATCAAATTTAAATTCTTGTATCAGTGTGCCAATGTTTTGGAATTGAGGTTGTTAATAGACTATTTCCTTTTTGCATAACAAAGACATTATTTTCAGAATTTTATGTGTCATATGCTTTGTTTAATTTTGTCAAATATTTTGGTCTCCTTTTTGATGTTTTTTTCCCCATTTGTTTTTTTACAAACATCTATGCCCAATCTTCTCATCATAAATACTGTAACCTTATTTAGATATTAAGATTAAGCATCAACTAATAATCAGCACGGCCAATAATATCGGCCGATATTCGGCATTTTTACAATAATCAGCATCAGCTATTTTTTTCTTCCACTGATAGCCGATAAAATACATTTATTTTAAAATGTGCTAGTTTGGCTCTTACACAATTGCTTCTTCATTCCCAAAGTCACCACTCTTGGCTCTGCAACATTTCCCGCCTAGCCTGGCTGGGCGTTCCAGTTGCGTGAATCACTTGCCGTTCCTTCTCACAACAGTCTGGACTTCGGCCAATTGGGAGCCCTAAAAGTGGGCGGGAGCACTTTCCTTGATAGACAGACTACTGTAACCAGTCACCGTAACCAAACATCTGACGTCATCACAGTGCGCAACTTTGTTCCCTGCTGGGCTCTCAAGCATCAAGTAAAGGTTTGGTAATATTTCAACGTGTGCGAGCAAACAATGTCTTTTACGTCTTCTTCTGCGGATATAAACGATATCTGCCGACTTTGCAAAGTCAACTGCAGAATTTACGGCGTTCTGAATGAACGGGACTTTGAAAAGTCCCGCAGCATGTGTTAGACGGCACATCTACACATGGACCAATCAGGGGCTGCCTTTCCCTGTTGTCCGGGGAACAGTGGAAACACAGTCACTGATTGGCCCGGTTATTTTCTGATTTCTAATACATGCTTCCAATTGGCCGAAGTCCAGACTGTTGTGGGAAGGAACAGCAAGTGATTCACGCAACTGGATGGCCTAGCCAGGCTATATCCCGCCTACAGTCCCCACTGATTGGCTACACAGACAGCCAATCAATAGAATAGAATAGAATATTCCTTTATTGATCCCCCATGGGGGAAATTTATTTTGTCACAGCAGCATCACAGACAAAGAGTGCAAAAATGCAGTTATAAAAATAAAGATCCTAATATTAAGAACTTAAATGTAATAATTCAGAAAAAATTTGAAAAAGGGAGAATAAAAATAAAAAGTATCTACAATATACACAATTTAAATGCCAGAAAAAAGTGGTGGTGTGAGTCCAGTTATTATTACAGTTCGTTGTAAAGTCTTATTGCAGAAGGGAGGAATGACCTGCGGTAGCGCTCTGTCTTGCAGGGTGGAAGTGTCAGTCTGCTGCTGAAGGAGCTGCTTAAAGCCCCCACAGTCTGGTGCAGTGGGTGAGAGGGATTGTCCATGATGGATACAAGCTTTGCTAACATCCTCCTCTCACCCACCTCCTCCAGGGAGTCCAAAGAACAGTCCAGGACAGAACTGGCCCTCCTGACCAGTCTATTCAGTCTCTTCCTGTCCCTCTCGGTGCCCCCTGCCCCCCAGCAGACCACTGCATAGAAAAGTGCAGATGCTACCACAGAGTCATAGAAAGTCCCGAGCAGAGTCCTGCACACTCCAAAGGAACTCAGTCTCCTCAGCCAGTGGAAACACAACTTTGGCCCTTCTTGTACAAGACGTCTGTGTTGGTTGACCAGTCCAGTTTATTGTTGAGGTGGACACCCAGGAATCTGTAGGACTCCACCATCTCGATGTCCAGACCCTGTATGTTCACTGGAACAGTCTGAGGTGTCCTCCTCCTGCAGAAATCCACAACCATCTCCTTTGTCTTACTGGCGTTTAGCTAGAGGTGGTTTGTGCCACACCAGTTGACAAAGTTACTGATAACAGTCCTGTATTCCCGCTCATCCCCTGACAATACAGATCCGACGATGGCTGTGTCATCAGAGAACTTGTGGAGGTGACAGCTCCCAGAGTTGTAGCTGGAGTTTGAAAATACTCAAGCTTCTAAGTGCAGCTCCACAGTGTGGGAGAGATGTGAGACTCCTGTTCCTTTCACTGATGTTTATTAACACCGTAGAACTAAAAGCTCAAGTAAACAAATTAAAAGCCAACATCAGCTATGGTAATCATTCCATGAATGGCATTGTTAAGCACTATAGCCAATAAAGAATACACAGAGTAATACAGACCACTTTAGCCTGTTTCTCAACAAATGGCAGTCATTCCCTCGAGGCAATCTTCACAGTCAAAACTAAGATCTTTCAACTTACACGTCTCATGAAACCACATGCCTACAGTTATAACAAACAACATGAAGCATGGAGAAATAAAGCAAAAGAAACAAGCTAGCAGGTAACACCACGGCTCGAGGTGGTTCATGGTGTTTGTGGCTGTGTCCGAAATGAATCACTCAATCCCTAACCCCTAACCCCCATATGGGGTTTCACTATATAGCTGACTATGTAGTGAGTTCAATCACCGGAGGTTTCAGACACTACATGGCAAGACGTAATGCATGACGGGATGCCCACCACGGGTGAGTGACCATCTGACGGTCACTACATTTTGCAATGCTCTATGGGAAATTTTGAGTCGCCTATATGGGGCATTGGAATGGATCACTCAGGTTTCGGACACCCCTCAAAATGGCGCTAACCCCCATATAGTTGCCTATATAAGGGTTAGGGATCCATTTCGGACACAGCCTGTGAATCTTATGGCATGTGAATCTTACGGCATGTGCTACTTCTGGTTCTTTTCTTATTTCAAAATAAAAGGCCAATCGGTTCTAAATATCAGTTATTGGTTTCCTTGATGACTAAAAATCTGTATCAGCCCTAAAAAAAAACATATCGATCAATCCTTAATATAGATATTATATATGTTGTCTGTTTCAGGTCACACAGGAGAGTGCAGCTGCCTATAGCAACCTAACTTTTGAGGAAATCGTCCAGGAACTCATTAAGCAGAAGGAAGTGGTTAAGAAGAAAGACGCCCACATAAGGGAGCTGGAAGACTACATCGATAACCTGCTTGTGCGCGTCATGGAGGAGACCCCGAGCATCCTACGGACACCCTATGAGCCAAAAAAGAAGGCTGGTAAACTCAGCAAGAAATAAAATGAAACAAAGAGAAGCAGAGGGGAAGTTTAAAGATGAAGACGTAGAGGTGGCTCAAGTACTGTGTGTTTAAAAACAGAGGTATGGGATTAATCCAAGCCAAATTTATGATTAAGTTATATCATAGCTTCAGAAAAGTTTTAAACTGCAAACATGTTGATTTTTTGAGGATTTCTCTCCTTTTTTTTTATTTTAGTTCATACAAGTTAGTTTGCTCTAGTTTGGGCCCAAGATTCATTCCAATATTTCCCCTTAATTTAGGAGATGTTGTTGTGTGCCCTTTTTAGGATATTAAAACAGAGATGATTAGAGAAAATTATCTGCTGTATGAAGAATCATCTCATACATGTTCCTTACAAAGGTTAGGTTTCACTAGTGTGTGTGTCAACTCTTAAAGCTACATAGATCTGTGACACTTACACCACTGATATCTGCTCAGAAATCCTTAAGGTGCATATAGATTAAGGTTGTCAAAAATTTTGATACTCCAATACTTTTCAATGAAACATGCTTTATAGTATCAAAACGCACCAAAGCATTTGAAGAAAGAAACGATCCACACTCATATTTTCAACCAGATGCTGCCGCAAGAGACTGAAAGTAAGAGAGCAAGCAGCACTGGTCAGAGACACAGAGACATAGAGACCCAGTGAGTGCTGGTGATGAAAAGTTGTTTAAAGCTAAAAAAAAAAAAAAAAAGATGAAGAGTTAATTTCTGTTTTTTTTTTTTTGTTTTTTTTTCCCACCAGCGGTGACACTCTAGATATAACAAACAGGTCCACAGCTAAACATCATCATCAAGAGGGTGAAGGATATGGTTTGCTCGCAGCTGAAGTTTTTCTTGCTTGCTGCAAGTGTCTCTCAGCCACGCCCACCAACACAGTTGTTACAATAGTCTCCTCATACATAGGTTGGCTAATACCAATGTTTTCTTGAGTGCTTTAGCATTTACCTGTCATGAAGAGACTTGTTAGGTTGATGGCCTTAACCAAAACTTCAAATCCAAACAAATACTGTTGCAGATATGACGGTTGCCCTTGCAGTTGCCAATCAAAGGAAAGCTGTTCTTCTTTTGACGTGATTGTGAAAATGCTAGCTCTTATGCTTGACTACCTGTTAACAGGCTAACAACTGAAAATATCAGCTGTTAACTCTCGTTACTCAACTTCTAGCAGAAGCAAAGGTCTGTGAAAATCACAAAGTTTGTGAAAAGGTGAAAATTAACCCTGAAAAATTACAACAGTGACATTGGGTGGTACGCCAATTTTAACATATTCAATTCATGTTGTGGTTTTGGTGCAGCTCTTTATTTTTGGTTTTTGTTATGTAATGTTGAAAACTCATTAACTCTCTGCTCCTTGTCCTCTTCCAAGTTCTTCCATCTTTAAAAATGATGCACTAAGACAACCAGTATTTAAGGAGGTCTTTACACCTACTCAGAACTTGATGTAAGATTGAAGTTGTGACTGGTAAACTCCATCTTCAATCAGAAATGATGTCTGAACTTCGATTTAACTTACAGCTGGTGCAACCCAGTGTTAATCCCTGTGTGTTTTCTAGACAGTTGACAGGGAGCTTCTCAGCACTATACAATAACCAACAGACGTCAAAGTGTTGTAATGTCTGCAAACACCACCACACACTTCCCCTCCATTTGAATGATGCTTGAGGGAAATGTGTACTTTAGTCATAAATAATTTTCATGAAAAATCTGATTGATTTAGCTTTTCATTGCTATCAACAGTTTGCCAGGTTTGTTTTTTTTTGTGACTTTGCTGCAGATTAGAAATCAAACTTTACCAAAACTACTCTTGTTAGTGCCAAGGAGTTCATTTTTGTTGCTGTGATAGAAACACTATTTTATTTCACAGGTTTGGTATTGAAATGAAATTTCTGGTAATGTCATGACGCTTATTTTAGAGCCAAACACTTGTTTACCATTTCTTTTTTTAAGGACGGTCAGGCCTTCGATGAAACTAAGCTGCTGATCATGTGTTTATGCTTCAACTGTTGGCCCTGAAGTACATCGAACAGGCTACAGATGTGGATGAAATCCTCGTTCTTACTTGATAGCCTCAGTGTCTTATTGTTATTGTCCGTTAAACTGAAAGAGAGTTTTAGAAAGCAAACAAACATTCCTGTTTTCAGCTGCTGATTTCACAGACTTTATTTGGCTGTCATTGATGGCCATCACCTTGTTTCTAAGGGTCTAGCACTCAAAAACTTTACTGACTTTTAAGTGCAATAATCACACCTTTTGTCCTGTTTACACTTAGTCACATCTCTAAATATTGATTTGATTCTCTGGAAGAGTGGAGATGGTTGTTACTGTTTCACTGAACAGCCTTTATCTCTAATACAGATTGTATATCTGGTACCTGCTGGTCTATGTGGATTGCAATGAACAATCATTATTTATAAATATTCCATTGCTCATTAACTCATAAAAATGTGTTTATTTATACGTTTGGTGCTGAATGGTGAAAATGTTACTCAATCCCATACCCCCCTAAACCCCCCCCCCCCCCCCCCACACACACACACACACACACACACACACACACACACACACACACACACACACACACACACTAAAGTAAAGACAGAGTTATTGCCTTACTGTAATTTGCATCAGCATAGCTTTTGTACCCTGAAAGTCTGGATTTGAATGAGTGACATACTGTGCCTCAGTGTACTGGAACTGTTTTTAAAGTTCATATATGTATAAGGTACATGTTTCCTTCAGGTTTCCAGAGTTCTAATGAGAATAGTTTCCTCATTGTTCAAGATAAACACCCACTCAGTCTCACTGAGGTCACAAATATTTTTGACAGTTTATGTCAGCTTTTTTCTTTGTCTTTTTAAATGTGTTGTCAATCTGTGATGCTAATGTCACAGTAACAGCTGTTGTTTTCATGATACTCTTTTTTTATTGAACATTTGCTGAGCTGCTGCAGAGTTAGCAGTTGGACTGCACTGCTGGTACTAAAATGAACTAAATGACTACTTACAGGTTAACCAAGACTTTACTATCTTTACCTTGATTGTACTGGATGTTTAACTAAAGTATAATAGCCTGTTTTATGTTTTGGCTATCATTTTTATTTGTTTACTGCTTTTGCACAGAAATCAGCTGTACAGAGCTGGACATGCTTTATAATCTCAGTACTTGTACTTGAGTTAAACTCTAATTTGATGACATTTGGCATCATTATGACAGAAAAACCCTTGTTTGTGTTTGTGCCGGTACTCATTCTGGTTTCTGATGATTTTAGAGTACGTTTACATGATTTTCAGTAAAGTGGAGCTAGGCTCATAGCTCAATAAGGTGATTTAACTGGACTTCAGTCGACAAGCACAGGGTGAGACTGGAGTTATTGACAAAGGCGCATCCACCTCCACTTTGGTAGGTGTCAGTATTCCCCTTTTCAGCTTATTACTCTTGGTCCATCTCTGGGGTCAACTTATTGTGTCACACTCCAACACACTTGACAAACGTGTTAGCAAGAGACTAACACTTGGTGTGTGGAGCAATGAAAGCACTGGCAACTTTTCTGTTCCCCCTTCTCTTCTGTCAAGGTTTTGTTTACTACCTGGTTCTCTACAAGGCATTTGAGCCGTTCACTAACCAGGTCAAGGCCCAATGTGTGTACTGTGGAGCATGGGCAGCACACAGAGTTTGTGGCAGTTTGAAGCATATACATGGAGAGGGAACTGTATTATTGGGGTATGTTAGTCAAGCTGAGAGAAATCTGATGTAAGACCATTTCAGTCAGACTTACATGTTAACATGTATACAGAAGCCTAGTTTCAGTCAGACTAAGACAGTAAATCGACATGTGAACATACTGACTGTATAGTACCAAATCACATCTGAAGACAAAGTGCCATCATGCTTCATCGTTGTGTTAATTCATGAAAACGCATTCACACACTGATTCGTTCTTTCTGCTGCTTTTACAGTGATTTGTTTTGAAGGAATGTGATCCCTGTTGGGAATAACTGTCCCCCTAATCTCTTGATAATGAATGTATTGGGTTGGCTATGAAATGTGTCATTGTAAAACTAATGGTGATGTACAAGTACACGAACAAGCCCATTGAACCTTGCTTGCCTCTAAAGTATTTAATGTATCCAAAGAGATGATTTGGTACAGGTGTTTTTCCATCTTCTTCCTGTCAGTCTGAAAGAACTCAAACATCTTCACATGGACATTGACAACTCTGATTTATTGGACGAATGTGTCTTAAAGCCAAATGTTCAAAGGAGCTCATGAACTGATGAAAGTTATTATGTGATACTAACTAGAAGCTTTTGTTGATCTGAATCTGTTTCCAGTAGTTGAAAGTCGTCTTTTTGATTCTGGAGTGTACACACTCTCACCTCATGTTACAGGCTCTTTTGATAGCTTTAATTAGTCTTCTTTTGGTACTCTAGCTATCCATGGATGGACCTTATTCAGCTCCTCATACTCTCACTGTACATAATGTGTAGTGACTTTGCAATATTACTTCACCTTTTAACTTTTTGCACATTTTTGTGTGCTGTCAAATGTTTAAAATTGTGCTTCCAAGGGGTTTGTGCTGTCTGAGGTACTGGCAAAGTACAAGTGACAATAATTTTAAATTGGGAATAAAGTGTTATTGTCTAATAAGACAGTTATGAAGTGTTACTTTCATTTAAGCACTGATGTCAGTGGACAGCTTGTTTGCTGTATTTGCTGTATGCTTTGGTCAAATACAAATAGACATGAAAAGAAAAACAGTGCCGACAGATACATCAGAGAAAAAGAGGAACGCTCACCATCTTGCTGTAGGTCAGTGCTTCATCAGATTTGCCTTTATCATTTAAGTCTAGATGGATTGTTTTGCACATGCCTGAAAGTGTGCTCCAAGTGTTGTGAGTTAAAGTCAGTCCTTTTCCACCAAAAGTGCAAACATATGGGGATTTTGTTTCCATGTTGATGAAGCATGCATTGAACCTTTTGATGGAGATGACATCCAGCTCAGCTCAGATCTCACAATCCTCCTCTGGCAGTCTTTTAAGTCTTCTACTGATAATATGATGCTGCTTGCCATAGGCCACATACAGATGCCAGACACTAAGACTTAAGCTCCTGCTAAATCCCTTGACGGTGCTTGTAATGTGGCACACAGTTTTGGAGGAAATGATGACTGTGTTTATAAAAGATTTCACCAGTGAGTAAAGCGTCATTCAGTTTAAAGAGCTGGTGCACAGAAGCCGGCACAATCGAGCGTACAGTGATGTTAGTGCCCCAACATGGCTGAGGCCTGGAAATGACTTTTTCATATTGACAGAAGATTAACAGGAAAAAACAGAGAAATCTTCCACAACAAACTGAGAATTTCACTAAGTTAAAGGTTGGTTGACGTTTTATTTCATTTGATACCATGAGCTTTGTTATTATATTAATTAGTTCACATAACAACCAGTATATGCAATGATTGCAAAACTTGATGTTTAGGGACAAGAAGTCTTGTTTTCTTTAGTGCTGTGGGATGTGGAGGCGGTCTTTTTAAGAATTGGGGTAATAGAAGTGCATAAAGTGCCAACACAAGCGTTACAGCAGTCTGATAATGAAGTTTACCTATTATCACATACTGCAGTTTTAGATATAATCACAATCATCATGATTGATTTGTCCCAATGTTGTCCTTTGTATAATAAACTCCCTCTGAATAAAAGCTCTTTGTGTTCTGATTTATTTAATAAATTTTTTTTTTTGTTTTTTTTTTACACCCAAAACCTGAGCTTCATGAGCTTCATGTTTCAACCACAGGGTGATAAATCCTCAAACATGTCCACAGTTGTACATGATTACTATTTTTGGATGTTTTTTTTTTTTTTTTTTTTTTCCCCAGTTTGAAATATTGCACTGGAAATTAAAAAGGAGAAAAATGGAGGAGATGCCTAAAGTTCCTCAGGGATAAGGATGAAATGAAGAAATCCTCGACTCTCAGAGAACCAGGCAGGTGGAGTCATATATTTTCAGCTGTAAGGAGTATTTTCATGCAGATTTAAATCAGATTTTCACAGACAGTGCTTCTTGTGGCTGAAAAAACATCTGTTGACTGTAAAGTAAAAGGTCAGGCAGGTTTACCATCAGGCTTATAATCATGTCCCAACTCATCGTCTTTGTTTTAGTCAAAATTTTGATCTAATGCACAAGGGAAAAGTTTGATTCAACAGTAACGCTACTGTTGAATCAAACACCTTTACAACACTTGTACATATACAGGTGTGAACAGGAAGGTGTGAGTGTGTGCACGCACACGTAGCTTTGCAGTTATGCATGTAGTTGGACACATGCAGACAAACTAAATCAGATTTTTGTCTTGCAGGATTTTTAGCAGGAAGGTTAAAGTTGTGGGTTTAGTGTTTTAAACCAGTATAACTATTGTAGAGAAGAATGTGTTTTATAAAAAGGATCTCTCCATTGTTGTTTCTCTGTTCCTGTGTGTGTCCATGTCTAAGAATGCTCTAAGAATCATCTCATCACATTATTTCATAGACTAGTATTACAAACACAACTCCCCCAAAAAATTAAATACTTGAACATAAGTTATTGACTTGATTTTTTTTTACTTGACTTTAAACAAAAACAAACACTGAAAAAATGATCACTTAATGATTGAATAATTTTCTCTCTACATCCCAGCTCTTCCTGCTGTTTCAGAGAACCTTCCTGCTAAACATAGAGGAGGAGGTATCATTAGTTTTTGTTCAAACTCAAGTTGTTTACTGACTGGTGCTTTTGTGGCCTGGTTTTCTTCTCCATTTCTCTGTCACATAGCAGGTTAAAACATGATCTCTCCTCTGTTACCTCAGTCTGGTTTTCCCTGAAGAGGAGTACCTCAACACAGTAGCAGCTGCCACAGCACATCACATGACCACTTCACATCTGATGATGGAATATCTGCAGCAGTTGTGACCAAAGTCACAGGAAAATTAAAAACTTGTCACGTTGTCACGTTTTTTAAAGGTATTATATGACTTTAAATTTAGCAAAAATCCAAGGTTAAGAAACACAATAAGGCAGGTACACACACAAGGTTCATATTGAAATAAGTCTAAAGTCTACTGACAGGATTGGCAGCAAGCATCAAGATGAATATTTAATCTGTGTGTGTTCACCTCCAGCCTGCCTTTGGGGGACACTAAGCACAAATACGTGTGTAATTGGGCTTTATGTAGGTGTCACCTGTTGTATTCATAAGTGAAATGGCATACTCATTGTTATCCTCACACATTCATCAGAAGATCACATTCCAGCTTTTGTACGGCTGCGGCACGTGTCATCTGAGTGCCTCCGACATCACAGCCAATTAGTTCATTGTGCAATATATCGTATTGCAGTAATTTGAGTAAATATCCAACAAATGTATTATGCCATATTCTGTGGGTGCTGCAGAGCCCAAGCATACCAAAAAGGGCCACCCACAGGTCACCTGTACTCCCCTTTAAATATGGATGGGCGTCACAGCGAGGATCAGTGTCACCCTGCACGCGTCTGTGAATGGAAGTGCCTCTGGCAATCACTGGGGAGCTTAAATGAGGAAAAAATCAGCAGATGGATGGGGTGTGTATGGGGGAAAGACCAGACCTATTTTGGCAGCTGGCTTAAACTTGTTGGATGGTCGAGGGCCAGATGTCAAGGTTAACCCTCAGATTCCCTGGGGTGTCAGCTCCATCCACTCCTCTCATGCAGGACTCTTCATCGGACAGTTAGCTAATCTGAACTGGTGCTTGAGATAAATCAGGTGTCACATGTGCTGCAGAACCTGGTGTTGTTGATTGTGTTGGTGGTATTGTCTTCCTCTGATAGCTGCCACGAGACTGGTGTCAGATGAACAAAGCAGATGACATCCAGAAGAGAGAGGGGCTGTCAGCAAACACGGTGTAGTAAAGTTGTAAACTTGAACTCTCAGGTTGACAACTCTCTCTCTCTCTCTCTCTCTCTCTCTCTCTCTCTCTCAGGTGACTACCTCATGAAGCTCACTGAGAGAACAGCAAAAGTTTGCAGCGCTATCAAAAAAGCAAAGGGTCGCTATTCTGAGGAATCTAAAATATAAAACATGTTTTCAGTTATTTCACACTTTTTTTCTTAAGCACATGATTCCACGTGTTCATTCATAGTTTTGATGCCTTCACTGAGAATCTACAATTAAAATAATGTATATATATATATATATATATATATATATATATATATATATATATATATACAGTATATATATGTATATACACACACTTTTTTAAAAGAAATTCAGTCTTTGCAATTTTCTCCTTTGACATAACAAACCATGGTAGTAGAGTTTGTCTGTCTTAAACAGTAGTTCAACAGAAAATGTACTTTCTTGCTCCTGCTCCAGTTTTGTGTATAAAACATAATGTCAAAAGAAGATTAATAAACTCACTAAAAAATGACTTTTTGCACGTTAACTGTTCTAGTAGAGTTTTTAAACCACTTCAGAGTGAGGGAAGCTTTTTCTCAGATTCTTCTGTTGACAAACCCAGTGTGAACAAAAACAATCTTTGAATGTCTTTGAATGTTGTATTTGACTCTAGGCACTGAGGAGACATCGGTGGTTTAAGTTAATCTCAGACTTTAAAACAAAACAAAAAAAAACAGATATCTGCTGTTATAGCATTAGAAAAGAGCAGTTTCATGCTGTGTATTTAGTTAAACTCAAACCTAAAAGACCTGGATGCGAAGTTTCCTTAAAGGACTCTCTGTTTTGGTGAACAGGTTGAGCTTGTAGGACCACAGTGTTTCTGACAGCGAGCTGGCGAGTGACTCATCTCATTATTACCGTCTGAGTGACACGTGCCTCAGACTTCTCACCAAAAAGCTTGGAAACATGAGCTCTGAGCTGACTGAGAGCAGGCTCTCTTTAGGTAATTTATTGCTTACAAATAGCACTATAAAGAAGTGTCACTTTGGAGTGAACAACAACATCAACAGTGTGTGATTACATGTAATCATGATCATGAACATAATTCGGTTCAACATAACTTATTTTAGCAATGATTTATGTACTCTGCACATTTTTCTGTGTGCATGTAGGTTATTAAACTCCTACAATATCAAGATATTATAATTCAGTGTGTGCATTTTGATCTGGTGCTTATTACGCTGCCATACATTTACTTCCTTAATGTTATTTGTGATCATCACAGCAGGGTAACCCAACAGCAGGCAGCCGCTCACTGCTCATGTCAGGCACAGTTGTGATTTGCAGTGGATAGATCACATTAGATCTTCCCTGCTATAGCTCAGTAAAGCCATCCTAAAACTAGAGTAATACAATCAATCAATCAGTCATCTCCTGACTTCACAGCACAGGAGAGCTCTGCTGGAATGCTGCTAAGCTGCAGATGTACCAGCCAAATTACCCCAGAGGGGAATTACCAGGCCATAAATCCAGATGTCAGGAGGGAGGCTGCAGCCTATTTCATGGTAAAAATACATGCAACTTGTTCCCATTACCTTGGAGAAAAAGTCTGGCTGTGCAGGGATCAAAATGGTTATTGATAAATGATTAGCATGTTTGTATCTAATTATAATCTCAGTGGGACTAGAGAGAAAGCACTAGTGATTCACTGTGGTCATCACAAATGAAGGATCAAACTTACTAAACATCTTTAATTTGAGTTTAATCCTCCATCTGTCAGGTTTTTACCATAAAGATGTCTCTCAGTCAGTCGCAGTTCCTGAGAAATGTGTTTTTCTAAAGCATCAAACCTGGGTTTGTGTCATTTTTGGTGAACAAAAACGTTTTTGTTGATTTCACTAGTTAAAGCTGTGTACCTTTCAACACCTCAAAACAAAGCTCTCTGCTAGTCTTTGCTGATCACTTTTTTTGACCCCTACCTCACCTCAGTGGTTTCCGATATTTAAAGTGTCAGGGTACAAATATCTATCCACTGGATGAGCTAATTTGATTTGGTGGCTAATCATTGGTACTAAATTCATCTTGTTTAACAAGAGGTACAAACTCAAGAGAAACTCTGCATAAAACCCTGGTCCTTATTCTGGAGAGATTTGGTAGGCTGATTCCTCCTCCACGGTTACCTGTGTCTAAAAAACAGCATGTTTATCTCCAGATTGAATGATTTTAACATAAGATTGTTTTTGTCCATTTTATTTGTGAAATTCTTGTGTAAGTAGTAGGCAAACAGCAGACAGGCAGACAGCCTAGTCAACATGACACAGTAACCATTGGCATCCAATCATTGGCAGGCTCTGAGCTTCATTATTGCTAATTAAGATGTATAAATATGCTGTCTGGCACTTGACTTGTAGGTTGCAATGAGCCATTTTTTCCAATCAAACTCAAAAAGTGCCAAGGTAGACAAGGTGAGGGCACAACTGCTGGTAGTGGTGCCGCAGTATGTACTCTGTGGGCACATTTCAGCTCATCTGGCATACATCTGACTGATGCCTTCGGGTGCCAGCAGCTAAACAAGCTCAGGTTTGAGGGAAGCCTGTTGTATATTTGGGCTGAGCACAGCAAAGTCTGCCAATGTCTTTGAGTGTCTGGCTTCAATGTCTCAATTCAGAGCTTCTCGTTGAGCTGTGCTCTCTGCTTTTCTAACAAGTGATGGCAATGGATATAGTTTGCAGTGCGAGGCACAAGCGAATGGATCTGAAATCAAAGCAGACTGTACTTGTCTGTAGGAT